TATTTTGGAACAGTATTGATTGAAAACCCAAACCGAAATAAAACATTTGAGGTCAAATAAAGAAGACCAGTCTTTATTCAAATATGTCAACAACTTGTAAATTAAAAGATGCGAGGAAGGCAATCTAGCGAGAATGGTGCTATATTCCAAGAAATAATTCTTCGTATCTTTTGTTTGCGGCTGTGTTTAAAAGCAATATGATTCATTTCCAATATGTGCGTTTAATTACTTCACAAAAGCATGTTTTGTGATAAATTTTTTTGAGCTGTACAGAAATGGGTTTTTTTTTCTCTTTAAATTTAAAAAATCATTTGAAATAAATTTTATTTTTGGCCATGAACAAAAACTATACATACCCAATGCTGTTTAGTGTTTCGTGCTGAGATAAGTATTTGTTTTCTTTTCAAAATAAGCAGTTTGGAAATATTAGCGGGAAAGAAATGGGGAAGCTCCAACCTTCTCTCCTTAGCGCTTCCTGTCGATTATATAAAATAACAACGAACCGATTCTGTGATTTACAATAGGTATAGGAAGTACCTTACTGCACAATCATTATATAAACAAACATTTATACAAAGAATAACCAATATTTCCTACCATTCTACCTTCATATTCAAATATTTTGTAGACAGATTTCTTCCAAAGTTTTCTGAGATTTTCCAGTATAATAGGTCCAACGTTATAGTCCTTGATCCCTTGTTGTTGACCTCTTCGTCTAACTCCCACCCATTGTCATTCTTGAGATGGACAAGGAAGCGAAAGACTGTTGAATCTTCCAGTGTACATGTCTTGTTGTTAATTCAAAGGTTGTAAATGTTTTACTCAGGAAAAAAGAGTGTAACTCACTTTTAAAAATTTAAAAGGGTGTCAGTTCTTAATACCTACTTTTGTTGAAATGATTTACACATTGTATGAGATATGCATAGAATCTTTGATCTCTGTTTATAATCATAATTGTACATGTCTTGTTGTTAATTCAAAGGTTGTAAATGTTTTACTCAGGAAAAAAGAGTGTAACTCACTTTTAAAAAAATAAAAGGGTGTCAGTTCTTAATACCTACTTTTGTTGAAATGATTTACACATTGTATGAGATATGCATATAATCTTTGATCTCTGTTTATAATCATAATTGAATTCCGTTGATAGAAATATTAATTTTCTTTAGATTTTTGTGACTTACCAGTGGGATGGCATACTAGTATTTAAGTACACATTTGCAACAGTTATAAGAGTCGTTTGATCAAACAATCACATTCTTTACAGCTTTTTTTTTTTTTTTTTTTTTTTTTTTTTTTTTGCTTCTATAGGCCAATATTATATATCATGTATACAATGTTAACACCAGAAATACGTCTATTCTTTAGAAAACAAGATCTGTACCAGCAGCAAGAAATTGCTTATGAAAGAATCTTGCCTTAATTCCTGAATCTTTTTTCGTATCTAATCTTATAAAAATGCTGAAACAAACCCCAGTGAAGGCGATGTGAAGTAATCTTTTAAAAGTGAATATTCAGTGAATAATTATATTCATTGTTAAGTTCATCGTAGTGATTTATTCCAGTTATTTAGCAACCATGAGAAGTTCTTATATCATTAAAAAGTGAATATTATTTTTGTGAAAATATACGATCAAGAATTTCTTTTGCTGTCACTTAGTACAATGCTTGTATATTAATTATTCAAAGCAATCCTAATATTTTGCACAGTTTGTATTATCAGATGGCAGATTTTATTAAACCAAGAGATTTACGTCCCATAGTTAAAACTTTACAAACATATAAATTATATACAATTTATGCATCTCATATGAACAACACATATAGTATATATAGTATAATAAAAAAGAGAAATCACAACATTTGTTACTCAGGAAAGAAATTTAATTTCTTAATTTGTTTGCGCAAAATACATAATTTCGAAGGTTACATTATCCCTGTGTTAAGGAATGCAGTATATTTAACAATTGTTGCAATCTAACTGGAATATCAGGGGGGAAAACAGTATCATCAGCATACAATATGAATTTAATCATTTTCATTGATGGACACCTTTTTAAAAATAAAATACTGTTCAAAATCACTAAGATATAATGAAAATAGAAGTAGATACAGTATTTATAACCTTAAAACACCACAGAGTATATTAAAACTAACTAATAGTGCTCCATTGTGCTTGATACATTAATTAGTTTAGACTAGTCTATTGCAATTATGTTAAATAACAAATTTTTGAGAATATTCTTTCCCTTTGCACAGGATTGTTCCTTCAGTTGAAGATCTAGAATCTATGTGCTGGGTTTTAATGAGACTCGACATTACAAATAAAAGGTATTAAACAAACTATTATTTAAAAAAAAAAAAGGTAGTGTAAATGTATGCTAGTAGATGTGTTGTAAGAATAATGTAAATATGACGTGAATTTCCATTTAACATGCATTGAATAAATGTAACGAATTGAGTAGAACTTAATATCTGAAGGTAGAAATATTACTAAAACTAATAATAAAATTTAAGCGAATTATTTCAATATTAAACTCGCCAATTAATCGCCACTGCATGAATTCCATTGCAGTCAAATATTACTCTCGTTAAGAAATACATTCATTTTTTTCGAAAAGGGGGTTGAAATTTAAAAAATGGTCAGGTTCATCATCTGGATTGATTGCACTCTTACTGAAAAATACAATGTATGGCTAGAAGAATATAACAGATATTCAATGTGACAAGAATATTTAAAGAATGAATTTAATAGCTAACCATGTTGAATTGTTTAACCTGATTTGAGGCATTTACACTTTATGAACCGCGAGCCGACGCGATGAAAAAGCGTAAACTATTCCAACCTAGGGCATACAAGTGTCATATTGTAATTTTTGAATTTACCGGGTGGTAGTAAATAATAAAAATTACAATATGACAACTGTATTTTTTGTATTTACTACCACCCGGTAAATTCAAAAAGTACAATATGACACAAGCATAACTTGGGTAACTATCAAATTCATTTCTTATCATTTGATTTTTTATTATTGAATATAAGAAATACACTAATATTTGTAGCCAATTAAATGGCGTGTTATAATCAGAATCAAATTTATTTATAGATATCAGGATACTTAGTATTCAGAAAAACAAGTTAGATAGGGAATACTGCAATTCAAACGAGAATGTTAAGATAAATGCAACGAAAAATTCCAGGCCCCAGGATCATAAAACATCTTAAGCTTAAGTCAAAATTTTTATGTTGTACTAAAATGTTGTTGAAGTCAAGCAGGCCAAACTTTAACTAATTTTCAATATTGCTTTACAAAATTAAAGTGTTATATGCAAATTCAGAGATTAAATCAATAATTATTAAACATTTTAAAGGCAATTGAATAAGTCTGTTTCATGATTCTGGGGCCAGATTGCTTAAAAATATTCTCATTACAAAACAAAACTTAAAGCATGAATATTTCACAGGGATAGTTGGAGATTTAATACAATTTTAAAAAGGAGAAGAAAGCACTTCCTTCGAATTTTCAACTGGTGCAATAAACAAGTTGAATGTCTTTAGTTTGCATGAATAAGAATATTGTACTGTAATTTTCGTATATTCTGATATTACAACATTATTTAATCTTTATTAATGTAAATTGCAGTTTCGATTTTATGTACAGGTCACGCAGATTTACTTGGAAGTTTTTTTTCTTTCAGTTACAAGCTACATGTAAGAAGTGTTTTTGCGCAATCTAGTAGTATCTATTCATCTTTAGTTTAAAAGGTGAATAAAAAACATCTTCATTATGAATACGTGTTTATGACATAATAAAAGCGGAACTAGTAGATAGCTAAAACTGGAATCTCTAAATAAGAAACAATAACGTATTCTCAAATCAAAATCACCTTAATTAGATATATTGATAATTACTCAGTGCTGTTCTTTATAGCAACAAAAGACTAAATCATTATTCCCCCAATCAGCGATTTGGGGATTTCTTTCAATTAGTAGGGCCGTCTTTGAAATCAGATGCGGAAATTCTCAAGCTTTATTGATTCACCCTAAGGACAATTGTTTGCATACCGGATTTTCTGTACGTAAGTATTCCACTTTTACAATTCCAGTCGGCGTTATGTAAACTAAGCCTATGATTTACACAAATGAAGTATGGATTCGGGGGTCTTGAAGTAATTACATCATTTTTAATTACTGCACTGTTAGAATATTAAAAGAAATCTGCACCACTGGTGTATTTATTAAGAATACGAGAATTTGAATCCTTCCAATTATAAAGTATTTTTGAAATTCCCAGTAAAGAAATTGTAAATTATATTTGATATTCATTAAAACGCAGTTATTAATAATTACATACATGTATAAAATTTTAATATATGCTTCAGGTCTCTTTCAAAATGCTACAAATCGAAACATCCTATTGTTAAAATATTCGGAAAAAAATATTTACATCTTGAATCAATTGATAACGATAAAATCCCATCCATGGATATTACGAGAAGTGAAGCATTGACTTGTAAAGTGTTAACACATTAAAGATAAAACCAGATTAATAAAGAAAGTAAATCACAACCGATGACCATTTATTGTGTTTGAAGGGCTGAAGACGGCATGTAATTTATCTCAAATAAAAAGCTCCGCAGCACACGACTTAAATATAACAAATAATCTGATTGGTTAATTTCGATCGCAGCACGTGTCTTTTTATTTACATTAGATATGAAAGAAAATACAAAAATCAAAGGATCCTGTAATTAATATTCAAAAAGATAAAAGGTTATGGAAACACAATGATATTTAATGAGAGATTATGCAAAAAATCATGAAAGCTTTAGTAAATTTAAAGATTTACAATTAAAAATTCAATTCATCAACTATTTGAGTAGAGTATTTTTGAAAGAAATTTTCGAAAAATATTGTTTGGATAACATGCACTGGAAAAAGAAATTTACTCGATGTTAAGGATCAGTATTGATGGATTTTAACTTCACAAAACATATACATCATGGATTACTTACAATACGACAAAGTTAGCGCTTCGCCTGATTCTTCAGCCTGTTCATTTGTGGATGATTTTCCTGCAGTTTCTGATGAAAGTCAAGATTCTAACGCTGAAAGTGTACCGAAATTAAACCTGAAAATCAAAAAGAAAAAGAACAGCCATTTTCACCAAATTCAACAGAGAGAGGCAGCAAATCTCAGGGAAAGGAAAAGAATGCAATCTATCAATGAGGCTTTTGAAGGACTCAGGGCTCACATTCCCATGTTACCTTACGAGAAAAGACTTTCCAAAGTTGACACATTAAAGCTGGCTATAGGCTACATAGGGTTTTTATCGGAACTTGTCAAATCTAACGTTGGAACCACAAACCCTCAACTGTCATCAAGCAGGGAAAAACAGAAGAAAATCGTAATCAAATGTCACTATAGTAAGTTTTCTTTTATAGCTTATCATTAAAATATCACAAGCTTTTATTTCCATTAAATGTATGAATTCTGGTTACTTTCAATTCTTTTTGTATCCACTCATCATCAATAACTGCATCCTTTCAAAAGTTCATGAGGTTCTATTATATCCCTCAAATGTCTTTAAACTACAGATGTAAATTTCGTAAGCAATTTAGTTTTATTTACTGATAAGCTTCTTCAAAACATTAAATATTTAAAATGTGTATACGACTATTAGCTGACTTTGTAAGGAACTTCCTTTATTACACGTCACCTATTTTTACTATTTTTTTTTTTTTTAAAAATTATTATTATGTCAAACAGAATAGATAATAAAAAAGTAAATTGATATTCAATTTTCATGAATTCTTATTTCCTCCCAGAAAGCTAATTTAAGGTGAATGTATTTCTTATTCATAATGTAATGCACTTAGATATATATCTTACTCCAAGTCAAACGTCGAGTCAAATTCTTCGCAATCTTCTGACAAACCAAAGAAAAAAATCATTATTGGCGCAAATATATTTATTCATAAACAAAAAATTGTAATATTTTTTTTATTTCTTTATCCCTTTAATTCTGTTTAAACTTTTTTTGATGTAATATTTGCATATCAAATTCAATGAAAATGTATGCCTTAACATGTCTTTTTCATTCATACCGATCAATTAACATACTTATATTTCAAAATATCATGACCATTAAATAACATCGTAGCCTCGTAGTAATACAGTATAGTAATATTGCATACTGTCCCCAACCACAAAAACTCATACACGCGAAAATAATGCAAGCACCATAAGAGAATAGAAGCTAAAAGGCTAAAAAAGAAATCATTATTTTAGTTGTCGACAAAGGGTATTGTGAAGGAAAAATCATAACACTTAAAACTAGACATTTACTATTTGACTTCCGATGAGTTACAAATTCATTGCTTTTATTTGTTTAAATATTTTATCACTGGATACCTTTCTGAATTGATAAGACGATTTAAATGTATTTTCTTTTATTCCTTCCCCGCGTGACAGGCACGCGAGCAGACGACATAGCACGTGGCTGGCAGCCTCTGGCGGGTCATTCCTTGTCTTGGAAAGACGAAAAGAACCCGGGCCTTGGTCCTAATCGGACATTGTTCGCCAAGACCTGGGTACCAGAGGATCCAACAAAACATAAAAATACATTTGAGGAGTGTGGCGAGGTGGTTCAAGCGGACTCTACAATCAGCTTATAAATATTAAAACGTACAGATTTTAAAGAAAAGACGTATTCAACCATCCATTTTTCTATAGTGATTGACTTATTGTGATGTACACGTCTAAATAGACTGATTTTTCTTAATCTGTTAATTCATTTAGTTTCAAACTATATTACAAGCTATATTTTTCATGCTGTATATAATAATTGCCCATTTATTTATTTATTTATTTGCATACATGTATCTTCCTATCCTGTTACCGACACATGTTACAGTTGTTAATATTTTCCGTTGCAGCAAAGTATATCAAATAAAATATTGAAATTGTGCATGCTCCTCAGTTATGTTTAATGAAATATTTTAATGAAATGTTTGAATGATACAGGAATTGTGACTCCTGTTTTATTTAATCAGGCAGAAATGCAATCCACAAAATGAACCGAAGGTGAAAGTGTCGCATTGCAAAGGCGGTTTGACATTTTGGGATACAATGTCGTTGCCTGGATGCAACAGCTTATTGGCGGTGTCATTCATTACGAAACCAAAATTCATTTTTTGCTCGCTTAAAGCCTCGTGATTTTCCAGTTGGTATCTTACTAATCGGCACGTGGCGGGGTTCATTGAGATAAATCTGTGTATGTAATCGATTTTTTCATAACGAAATAATTTTTAATCGTGCTTTATTTATTTGTTTCCAGTTTTGAGATATTGTAGACACTTGCGTGGCTACCACACACAAATTATCTGCCTGTCAAAGTAGAGTCATGCAGTAAAATTTCCTGTCCATTTTTAATGATATGAATATTGTTACAGAATTGTCAAATATATAGCTTAATATCAAACTTACAATTCAAACATTAATGATTGCGTCCGATAGCAAAATGGATAGTTTGATCATATAGGAACAGAATGTTTCTTATTAATTCGCACAATACAAAGACAATTTGTTCTGAGGAATCTTGGGAATATATGATTTTATAAAATGCATATTTTTACGTAACTTTATGTACCCTGATCACTCAACCATGTCCGACTGCTGTTTTCATCTGCTTGCAATGACGTTTTGAAGACAATTTCTATAATGGATGTTAACTAACCGCTCAAGAATGAAATTTACTTCGACCGTTGAAAATTCTGAAAAGGATATTTCACATCGGGTAAGCAACAAAAGGATTCACAGAAAAAAAATACTGCTCAAAGTCTTGGGTAAGAGTTTAAGTCTACGTTATCATAAATACAACAACGATTAACACGATCAAATTAAATATGCTGCACCGAATAAAAGTCTATTATCGGAGAATAATTCTTTATGTTGGTATTAATTGAGCTTGTTGAGCTACTGTTAAAAAATCTCTTATTTTGTTTTTTTTGTTCACGTTACATGTTTTTTTTTTCAGTTACTCCTTTGTTGATAATTTTTAATCGTTTGTATAATATTTTCGTATAAGGTTCATTTTTTTCCCCTAACAATACCTAGTTACTAGTATTTCTTCAAACAGCTATTTTCACTGTATTTTTATCTTTTGCAGAATAGAGAAAAACGAAATGATAAACGCTTTCATTTACTATGAAGGTGACGCATAAAATAATGATTCTTACTACTTTAGATGGTTAAAAAGTGGAAGTAAAAAACAAAAAAAATAATCCAACAATAAGTTATATATATCAAAAAATGGAAAAATGTTCTTGCAACATAATATAATCAAGCTTTTATAATTTAAATATTTAAAATAGTTGAAAAAATATAATTGAACAGAATTGCACATATGTTGTTATATTTAAGTTGATTTTTTTTAGATAGTTTTCATGGGCTCAACATAAATGGCATACCATCCAGCTTAAAACGTGCATATATATATATATATATATATATATATATATATATATATATATATATATATATATATATATATATATATATATATATATATATATATTATCAAGGGCAAAAAAAAAAAACAAAAAACAAAGACAACTTAAACAATTAATAGTCAGCTTCATATCACCAAGTTATTTGAGAATCTAATGGATTTCACTGATGACTGTGGTAGTTTGGCTCTTAAGATGAAATAATTCAAAACGGATACGTGTAATTGTGCAGCATCCCTTAATAGCAGAGTGGACATCCCCGATACCCGTATACCTCAGCCAGGTATACACGAAGGCGAATCACAGTAATCAGGGAGACCTGTTTGTTCATGATGAATGCAAATATTTAATATCGTCAAAAAGAACAAGGTGCACGTGGAAACTCTCCATATTAATCTCGATGAGAAGGAAATTGATTCGCAATACAACAAACAGTGGAAAGTTGAACAGGGCTTTTGTAATGGTGCAAGTTTAAACGCAGAAATTGAACCATATCCATGCTCATACTACTGTCAAACATTGGAAAGTTGAACCATGCTCATCTTACTTTCAAACATTAGAAAGTTGAACCATGCTCATACTAACATCAAACAGTAGAAAGTTGAAAAGCGCTATTGTCAAACGCCGGAAAGTGAAAGGTTTATCTATGGTACTTGTAAAACAGTGGAAATCAGAACTACTGTCACAAAGTGGAAACCTCACCACATAACTGTTAAACAGCAAAGAATTAAAATGCCTTTCTGTTAAACAGAACGTAAAAATTTGAACAGCACTGCTAAACAGTGGAAAATTGGACTGACCAACGTCTCATTTGAAAAAAAAATATATTGTATTATTTTAAGATTTTAGATTTTGACGGACGAAAACTTTGTTTTTGATTATTATTTTCTTACTTTTGATAAGCCGGTATCATTAATCAATAACATATGTATTGTCCTGCTAACCTTAACATTTTTACATTTAAATTTTTACAATCCTTTAAATATTTCCTATATTTTTTACATTTTTTTCTTTAACAAATACACATTTTTGTTTACTCAAGGACTAATTTCACATCATTCAAACTTAAATTTTTTTTTATTGCTTATACTTTCAGAGGGAAAGAAAAGAAATCATAAGATAAGGGAAATTTACAGAATAAAAAAAGGTAATTGCATTATTGTCGAAATCTATCCTGATTTAAAGATTCTTTTACTATTGAACACGTAGGTACTTGTACATGCCATCTTTCATTTGTTTTTCAGACTTACACTAAAAATATCTTCTGACAATATCTTTAATTTATCCCCTCTGTCTTCACCATTAAAAATGTAAACTGATATCGTACTTACAATTATTCATATCAATTTTTAAAAAGTAATAATAATTCCCAAACAATTAATGGTTTTGATGGACAGATATTCCATTTCAGTGTCTAAAATAAAAACATGAAATTATACGTGTATAAAACAGCAAGGAAAGATTCATAAAATCCGAACTTTATAATGAATCGGTTTTTACGTTTCTTTGACAGACTCAAACATTTAATTGCTGGTGTGTAGGGGTCTATTGTTTCCATACACCGGTCACTTGCTCAGTGACATGCAGTGTCCAGAAAAGAAGATAGATCAGGTGATCGCTTTCTCCGCGAGATCTGTAACGAGAGTTCGTCACTGTGGCCTGCACGTGGCACTAGACCGGGTTCTTTTTAGAAGACTGACCTGTAATCGCAAAAATAGTATTCCCTTTCAACAACGACATGGGGTCGGTCCAGACTTCGCATATGACTGGGGGTGAAGCTGCAGAGTATTAAAATGACATTACTGTTTTGTTTCTGTGTTCCGGCAACTGATGATGAAAGTTTACATAATAAGGTGCAAGTAATTTGGCCATTACACGGACCCGCCCATACACAATCTGTGTAGTAATACGATACAAGCCGTCAAATCGTTCCTAAAAATGACCAGCAGCGCTTAGGATTAGTTTTTAGAAATCTTTTGAAAGCTTTATGAAGGCAGTTTGATGACCATATCCTGCAAACTGTAGAAACTCACTGTAGGGTATCAGAAAGAACAAAAGTTGTGCAAATTACAAATTCATCAAAAATTAGTTGTAACCTTTTACAAGCAGAGGCTGCATAACAATGTAATGAATTTTGTAATTTATGGAGAACGTTACCCGTGATTATATCCAGTATACGGGCGGAAAATATTTCTTAACTTGTCCATAATGAACATGTGCATTATTGATACATTTAAGACTGAAACGCTTCTAAGAATAACAGATGTGAATCCCTAGTCATAAATATAGGGTATTAGAAAATAATTAGTCAAATAGTTTTTTTTTCTTGCGATGACTGTAAAATACATTATTATACCTTAATTGTTATATGTATCATGGTTATTTTTTTTATACTTATAAGAAAAAATATCATGAAGATTTTAACTCTGTTCTCATCATATATCCTAATGTGAACATAAAAATAGTTTTGAATAGTCAGATCATGGATGGAGTACTTAAACACAAAAGCAAAGGCAATTTAATTTCATTTTGATATTTACTACAGAACGATTGATCCATTTAAAATAGTTTTAACAATTTTTACTAAAACATACTACTCTCAATGATGTTATCTATTCGTTTGTTAATTCATTTGTTCAAAATATCGCATGTGTACCATACATTTGAGTGGCAGGTATAGAGAAAAATTATGAGAATTCATCGAAATGTTGTCTTATTCCTTTTAAGTGTCTGATGACCGCTCTAAGTCTATTTAAGCATATTTCAGATACTGAACAACCGGAGTCAAAATCTATAAATAAAACACAGAGACGAGGTAATACCCAAGAATTTAATGTAATTTGCCCGGTAATTTTAGTAACTTTGTTTCTTTTACTGTATGTTATTTTTTTGGTTACGATTTTCAAAATTTCCCAAAGATCATTTCATGTTTTTCTTTTGCATATAAAAAAAAGAACTCTAACTGGTTTTCTTTAACATCGCTATTTTTATTCAAATAACTTTTTATTTCTTTAAGCGAAACAACTTTCATAATTCAGATTTGAATATATCTTTTCTTGGATTTCTTTCTATAGTCTTCTCTGATCAAAATTATGCCGCAGGAACCATCTTCTAAGGCAATATTAAAGATGGAAATTACAGCAAGTTTGTTTCCTAATGAATCCATTGAATAACATTTCACACAAGTCAAATCCAAACAAGTCAGAT